GTAAGTCTGGACGAGCGGTTTGTCCATCGCCGTTCCGAAGCGAGTGTGACAGCCAGCGGGAAGAAATGAAGGGGTGAAATAGTCAAAAGTGAAAGCTTTTGTAAATCGGAAACATTTTTCAGGGTTAAAAATTTCGCGCATTGCATCTTTTTTTGTTAATAAGTTCCCGAGAGGTGAAGGGAGACAGTCGTTCTTTCGCTCATACATATACGGCATTCGGCGGAGGGAACGGACCGACTTCTCCCCTAATTCCGAGCGAGAGAATCCGCCACATGAAAAAAAAGGAGCCGGATCCAAAATGGTGAATTTTGGTGACCGTGAGAGAGCGAGAGAGAGAGAGAGAGAGAGAGACCCCTCACTCCTAGGATTTAAACGTGACATTAAACCTCACCAACAAACCTCCCGTCCCAACCCAGTCCTCAGAATTGACACAATTGACACCTCCATCTCCGAAATAGCAAGAGGAAAATGCTGCCCCGTCCTCCCTCTGACTCGCCCTCGGGTCTGCCATGGTTCCCCCCTGGGTCTGGCTTCTACAGCTTGACCCTGAAGCTTGTATTATCGATTATTTTAGGACCCATTATACCCAGCTGCTGCTATGGTCACTGGGAGGCTGGGGTGGAGGCAGGACCAACAGCTGTCCCTCTGCCAGGCTGCTGCTGAATGCCACTTCCTCTGAGTTGGGATTTAGGGCTGGAAACTTCATGGTTTTGTTATTGTTTTTGTTGGTGTTGCTTTTGTAAGGTTTGTGGGTATTTTTTTTTTCATCTGTGAGGTTAAGCATATTTTTTATTTCATCTGTGAGGTTAAGGATATTTATTATTTTGTTTTATCTTGTCCCCAGATTTAAACTAGTTTGAATTTAGAATCCAGATTGACTTTAAATATTAATTGTGTTTATGTATTTTTAGTTTATAAAGGCTTAATTAGTTTAGCTATGTGTTATTATCTTTTTTCAGTAATTACAGTCTATCAAGTAATGCTAAAGGTAGAAAGCAATTGATAACTATGAAGGCATGAATTGCATTTTAGATGAATGACATTTATCCATAGATACAGCAGGCCATTTGAGTGTGAGCCAGAATAGTTTAATTTGATTTTTAAAATTTATATGTGGAATTTAATTTTTTTTTAAAGCATTATATCTGCATAAATTTAACATGTTTTAGACATATTTTATGCAAGGGCAATGGATTAATCTCATTTTCTTACAGAATAATAATTTTAAGTAATTACTTTGGATATGATTATTAAGTAAACAAACTGAATATGAAATACTTTTTAGGTTGTATATTGGTAAAATGAAATCAATTATATTTGTATAGTGAATATATTGTTTTGCTTTATGAAAGATTGAAATCCCAAACATACATATAGGTTGCTCCAAACTCATCTATAGGTTAAACAAGATGTTTTCTGTCCGAGAAAACAAATTAGAATTAGGAATATTTTAAGAACCATGGAACTAATTTCACATGCTTAGAATATGCAGATATGTAGGCAGTGTGGTTATTAGATGTGAAAAGCATTAGGTATTTTAAAGTATATCCCTCTTACAAATTTAGGGTATGGTTGTTATACTTTAATTTTAAAAAATAAATGCTGCAGAAAAGATATAGCAATGAAATTGAAGCCTTGCTTTGTTCTAATCTTGTAGTGTTTCTTTGCCAAACATCATGAGTGCCTATCCATTTGGGGGTATGTTCAAGTTAGAAAAGAAATGAGTAAGAAAAGGCAAGGGTAGAGTGTTGCATTATCATAGACTAGTAGGCATTCAAGACTGAGGGAAAATTAATCTTAGCATTTGATGTTTTGTTGTAAATTTGTCATCAACTAGTATATTTTATAATTATGCTGCCACCTCAGCAAATTCTAGTTGAATAATAAAAAAAAAAAAAATGAAGTTGATTATTGGCAGAAGAGAAAAAAAGGTGTCAGGATTGTCTGCTAAAGGGAAGATCTGTTCATCTTTGTTAAAAGGAACTACTGTCCCCTTTTTTGTTTGTTTTACCTATATGACCCTTTTCTTTTTTCATTTTTCATTTTGTAGATTAAAGTCTAATTCTTCCTTTGCTTTAAGTGTCTATCTGTTTTTTTTTATAAGCTATGGATTAAGTAGAGTTTTCCTTGAAATTAGTTTGTGAATTTAGTCAATTTTTGTATGTATAAATATGTTGGGATAGCCTTGAATATCAGGAAAATATTGGGTTGATCCTTTGGATGCACCAAGCTTAGGCAAATTGAAGATGATATTCTTGTAGAGGACAAAAAGTTGCAGTTGTTGATACAAGAAATGATCTGCAGACACATATGTTAATGCTACAAATATATAAAGGAAAAAGATTACAGTCACTCGTTGGTCCTGAGTTTCAGCTCTATCATGTTATGCATACCAAGGTAAAGACCATGTTCCCCTTGGGGCACGCCCAATCATATCAAGATTGTTGAATAGATTTTATGACAGGGAGTTTGAGGCTTAGTCTCTGCCAAATGCATCCATACTGTAAAGATTTATCAAATATTATATGTATTTTAAGAAAACATGACTTAATAGGGAAAGAGCATGTGGGTATTACATTTGATGGTTAACTAGAGAAATTGAAATGGACATAGGGATAAAGAAATAACAAAATTGGTTATTGATTGGTTAATTGTTCAAAATAGTATGACATGAAGTAACATCTTAGCTTCCTCACCTTGCCCTAAAACAAAGCCCAACAAAATGATTCTTTTCTATTTGACAAGGTAGCATGGACAGATTTCTTAACCCTTTGCCACCGGGTTGCATATACGTATATGCCATGGCATCCCTGGACTGTATTCCAGGTGCATGTGTATACATACCTTGGTGCGCTGGTCCTGTTTTCTGGGGGCATGAACGGTCATGCTACGCACACTATGGTGCTGACACGATCCCCCAGCAGCAGGGCCCGGGCCCGGCAGAGGGGGTTTGTGCATCTGGAAACCACCCGGCAGCATTGGGTTAATTGGCAATAAGGCATCAGAGAAATCAATATGTTCTTTCACAAGAGAATATACACAAAGGAGATTGAGCATAGAAGTCGTATCATTGTAGGACTTGACTATGCTAGCAGATTCACAGATTTGATTGGTGATTGTGACCATAACTCCAGTTTTTTGGTGGTGGTTTTTCTTTCTTTCTTTCTTTCTTTCTTTCTTTTTATACCAAAAATATGTAATGTCTTAGTTTTTCTGTCTTCATGCTGTCCTATTTTGAACATCAAATTGCAATAAACTAGTAACTTGGGGCAAGAATGTTTTTTGTGTGCCAGGTTAGAGGCTATGAAATTTTTGATATTCATGAATTTGTTTTTGCAGCAAATGTTATACAAACAGAGCAGAAGTAGGCATGAAAAGGTTGTTTGGCAAATTCTCATTCTTTGAAATATGTTCTCTTACCCAGTCAGTTCAAGGAAAGATGGAAGAGAAATGTTTGTTGATTTGGTTTTGACTTGTCTACATGAAGCATTGATTTTTTGTTTACTAATATTTTGTGTTGCTATCTTTGTCTTTTCTCATTCTGTAGGTGAAGAGACATGACATGTTTATTGCAAATTGAAAATATAACTTATTCAATTTATAGAAAACATAAAAGAGATCAATCTTGCTTTTATCGCAACTATTGCTCTGGAAAGCCAAAGACAAGTAGGCAAGTGCTTGAGTATATGAAGCTGTATGTTGATTTATACTTTGCAGGTGTTAATGTTTACATTTAAATGAGGTTTAAGAAGGCCTAGTAATTGGCTCCTTGGAGAGTAAGTACATTTGGAGCTATTTATAAACAAAATTGACAAAAAAAGCAGTGGCATGTCCTTGTTTTTGACAGGTTAATGGCACAGATTTATTTGGGCCAATTTTTGTGACGTCAGTTTTTTGACAATATAAACTTTAATGTAAACAATGCAATAGCACTTTTGAAAACAGTGCATTAGATATCAGGTTCATGTAGTTAAATGCAATGTTAGAATAAACAGAAAAGACCAAAGAAAGAATACTCTGAATAAAAGTTATTGATATGAGATTTTACTGTTGGTGTGTATTAGTTACATAGAACTGCTAGACCTATTTTAGTAATACTTTTTTTCCCCCCAGTATTTCACAAGGTATTGTCATGATTTCAGGAGTCATGTCCATAATAGTAATGGCATAGGAATGAAAAACATATTAGTTTGTCAGCTGAGAATTACATAGATTTTTAATATTTCATGTCTTGGGAAGTACCTAGTTTTTCAGGTAATTTTTAAGCACTGATCGACAGAGCTACTGCTCCCACACGGATGTTGATTGGGATGGCAGTTTGAGTTTATAATAGCCCAGGCCAGCAGGATGTCAGAAATCTGTAGAAAATGGTTTATGGACTCTTGGTAGAATATCAGTATTGACGAAATGCATCTGGTTTTGTTATTTTCGGGATCCATGGTGAACTGCACTTTGAAAAAAAAATATATATATATTGATTGCCAAGTCTACAGAGTGCGTGAGTGAGAGTGCGAGTGAATGAGTGAGTGAGAGTGCGAGTGAATGAGTGAGTGAAAGTGCGAGTGAATGAGTGAGTGAAAGTGCGAGTGAATGAGTGAGTGAAAGTGCGAGTGAATGAGTGAGTGAGAGTGCGAGTGAATGAGTGAGAGTGCGAGTGAATGAGTGATTGAGTGAGAGTGTGAGTGATTGAGTGAGAGTGTGAGTGAGTGATTGAGTGAGAGTGTGAGTGAGTGATTGAGTGAGAGTGTGAGTGAGTGATTGAGTGAGAGTGTGAGTGAGTGATTGAGTGAGAGTGTGAGTGAGTGATTGAGTGAGAGTGTGAGTGAGTGATTGAGTGAGAGTGTGAGTGAGTGATTGAGTGAGAGTGTGAGTGAGTGATTGAGTGAGAGTGTGAGTGAGTGATTGAGTGAGAGTGTGAGTGAGTGATTGAGTGAGAGTGTGAGTGAGTGATTGAGTGAGAGTGTGAGTGAGTGATTGAGTGAGTGTGAGTGAGTAAGAGT